ACATAATCTTTTGAAAGCATATTAGGGATTTAAAAACAAATGTTAAAATAGCTGTAAATAGGTTGGATGGCTCATGCCTGTAATACTAGTCCTCTGGGAGGCCCAGGCAGGAAGATTGCTTGAGGTCAGGAATTTGAGACCAGCCTGAGCAAGAGTCAGACCCTCACCTGTACTAAAAATAAAAAAATTAGCTGGGTGTGGTGGTGTGCATCTTTCCCAGCTACTCTGAGGCAGGAGGATCACTTGAACACAGGAGTTAGAGGTTGCATAGCACTCTGTGGTCATAGCACTCTAACCCAGCCACACTCAAAAAAGAAAAAGTCTGTAAGTAGCAGTTTATTTATTCTTCTACCTTTTAGATCCCACCTCGTTACTTATTTTTCAACATTGCTGAAAACATTCAGGTCATGATGTGGTAGCAAAACCTCACCTAAGCTGGTCTAAATAAACTGCTTATACTTAAGCTATCCTCAGATTCTTTTAAAAGATCAGTATTGATTTCTATCAGTTCTTTGCACTAACTTCACTCCTACCCCCACCCAGTCAGATCAAAGCTGTTTGTTCCTCTCTGTTTTCTTACCCATATTCACTCAAGCCAGAAAATTGCTCGGAAAGTCTTCATTTTCTTTTCTCCATGTCCAATCTATCCCCTAGTTCAGTTGACTCTTTTTTTGGTAATTTCTCTTGAATCCATCCATGTCTCCTCCCTTGTCTAAACTCAGGTCATCATCCTGTAGCCTCCCAACTGTTCTCCCTGCCTTCTGAGGCCTAGTCTCTCACTTAAAAGCTTCTGGTAGCTCTCAATTGCTCTAAGGATAAGTATCTCAGGGTCTGGCTTATAAAGTTCTATCTTCTGGGCTCACTGAGTTGCTCAGGCTGGTCTTGAACTCTCGCCCTCAAGTGATCCCTCCCTCCTAGGCCTCCCAAAGTGCTGAGATTATAGCCTGAGCCACTAATTTTTTGTTCTTATTCAGTACAGTTTAGGTAATTTGAAAATACTAAGTTGTTACATTTCAAAAGTAGAACAATATTTCAGGGATTTTCTGACTTTGAATGTTGTTCCTATAGAACTTGGTTGCATACTTAAAAATGGAAGAAGTTTGAAGAGTTGAAGGAGTTATTACTAATGTTATGTTTTGCCTAGGCTTCCTTCCTTCCTTTATAATAATTACTGACTAAATAATAAGATTTTATCAATACTCAAAACATGATACTTTGTCACTTTAAATTTGTCAAAGAATTGGGGGACACCAAAAGCATGACACATAAAGAATAAATTAATAAATTAGATATGATTAAAACTAAAAGCTTCTACTCTTAAAAAATATGTCAAGAAAATGGAAATATAAATCACAGACTGGGAGCAAATATTTTCAAAATATGTCTCCATCCCAGTAAAGGATTTGATTCAGAATATATATAGAATTCTTACAACTCACTAAAAATACAAAAAAATATTTTAATGGGAAAAATGTTTGAATACTCAAGTCATATGGATAACACATGATTAGTTATTAGGAAAACACAAATTAAAACCACAACAAAATACTACTACACATGCACAGACTGCCTAAAATTAAAAGACTAGGACAGTACTACCATAATTGATAAAACAGTCTTTTTTATTGTCAGAGTTTTGCCTTTAGTTTTGCCTTTTGCCCAAGAACAGGATCTGCCTCTCTTTATTCAGGTCACCTGTTCTTTGTTGTCTAAGCATCATTATTAAATTGTTTTCATGTATGTTTTATACAGACTATGCTAATTTTATTCCTAGCTGTATACTCTTTGTGAGTCAGTT